ACATATTTTTATTTGTAGGGAAAATCAAGACCAATTAAAATTTTAACTAGATTGACGATTATAGTTACAGATCCATCCCACTGTAATGTTTTGGTAAGTTATTTTGCTTCTTTTGGCCTTCTATACTGTATTTATTAATACTAAACATTGTTGCATTTCATCACATCCCATTCTTCCACTTTTCTACATCACTCCAGTCAATGAGCTGTCCTGCTCTCCCTGTCTAGAATAGCATGCCTTTTCTATTCATGGTACATTTGTGGTGATACCACAATTAAAGAGTCCCTTGTCAACTCTTATTCCTTGAAATCATGTGATCCAGACACTAGATGGGTTCTAGAAATACTACTGTGGATAATATAGATAGAAATCTTTAGCTGTAAAGCTTATAGTTTAATTGGCAAGGCAAGCGTAGGCTGACCAAATAATAATTAGAAGTGTGATGAATGTTGAGACTGGAGAGATGGCTCAGTGATTAAGAAAGCTTGCTGCTTTTCCAGAGGTCCTACATTTGATTTCCAGCACCCACGTTGAATGTCTCACAGCCTCTTTTAACTCCTGCTCCAGGGGATCCGATGCCCTTTTCTGACGTACAGGAGCATCTGCACTCACATGCACATATTCACACACTGACACACACATGCATACACCTAAATAAAAATAAATTTTTAAAAAAGAAGGTTTAAAGAAGAAGCATCAAGTAAAGATGTTTTAAAAATATATTACCTGAGTAAGTTTATATTTGAATTGGAGCCCAAAGAGTTAGTGTCCTAGGTGACAAGCAGAAAAGACCTTATGCAAAGGTCCTGAAGGCAAGGAAAACATAATACGTTTCAGGAAATGAAATTATTCCGTAGGGCTGAGCCTAGGAGCTGGCTGTCTGAATAGGCTAGGGAGGGACACCTGGATCAAGATTTCGAGAGCAGTAATAAACCCTTACAGCTTTTAACTCAGAGACTACAATTCTGAGATTTACTTTACAGGGGATGGATTCAAGAGGGAATCTGAGAAATATTCAAGAGGAAGGACTGAATGGATTGGGTAATTGATGGATGTAAGACAACTCTGGGTGGCCTGAGCAGCCAGGCAGGCAGATAGAAGTACCAGTCATGGTTTTCATGAGCCACAAAAGGAGAAGCAAGCACAGAAGAGGATCTCTGTGAGATCAAGACCAGTCTGGTCTACACTGTGAATTCCAGGCCTGCTGGAGCTACAGAGAGACCCTGTCTCAAAAACGAGAGAGAGAGAGAGAGAGAGAGAGAGAGAGAGAGAGAG